TCCTTTTTTTTTACGTTTTTCCTTTTTTTTTTTTTTTTTTTTTTTTTTTTAAAAGTAGCGGTGACATCATTACTGTGATGTATAAAGCTGTAGTAGGGGCCCAGCAGGTCCCACCCACTACAGGCTGCCTGCAGAAAACTATAGGAAGGGCGGAGAACAGACCAGTCACCCTGCACAAGGAGAGAGAGAAGCAGTGACCAGTCTTTATTACAGGAGGGGGCGGATACAAGACCAGTCACCCTGCACAAGGAGAGAGAGAGCAGCAGTGACCGGTCTTTATTACAGAAAGCTTCTGCACAGAAGCATTAGTGCACAAAGCTCACCAAGATTCAAGAATACACATGTTTAGAAAATATTTGCTTATCCCAGATTTCAGCTTTGAAAGCAAACATCACCTTCTTTTTTTTTTTTTTTTTTTACCTTTTTCATCCAAAAGCGCCCCCATCCTACACCTACCTAAATAAATGGATATAGATATATATATCCTAAATCTAGCTTAAAGTCTAGTCTTCTGGGCAGTCGCATAATGTGAGATGTTTTTCCTCTTCTTGCCCGGGGTCAGTGGTGTGTGGTCCTTATTGCTGCACAGAACAGCACTGCTGTAGTGGTGTGTGGGTCGGATGAGGTCCATCTGTCAGTTTTTCAGGAAGACCTGATGGGATGTCCAATACTAGTCTATTGGCAGCCATGGCCAAAATGGACGGGCGTCGTTTTACATCCGCTTAACCCCGACTTCGGCTAGGCCTGGAAGAACAAAAAGAACAGTGATGGACCTCCATTGTACCAGCTCGGGGATAATCTGATGTAAATGGACACATGTCCGTTTACATTCGATTCCCCATAGACCAACATGGGGTCCGGTCATTTCAGTTTATATTATTTATTTATTTTTTGTGATGGAGGAAAAAATTGGACGGACACGGATGTCACAGCGGTGACATCTGATCCCTACCGCTCTGATCAGAAGGGGATGCGTTAAAGGGCCTAAAGGTTAACTAGAGGGCAGTAATGAATACATGCCACAGAAGTGATCTTCAATGCCCAGATGGTTCCAACTTGTTTGGTCACTGAGGATTCCCATCCCTAATGAAGAAAAGGGAATAAAAGTTATGCTGCATGTGTGCAACATTCACCCGGCAGCCCAGTCGGGGCAATGAACTAGGCCAGACAGTCACAGACAGACCAGTGAGAGATGTCATTTGCTTGCTTGTTATTGGTCACTTCGCTTTGCACACGATCAATGGTTCTCTAAAAGTGTTAAAATTGCACAAAGGCTTACAACAAGCAGGTAAGATGGCAGCATGGCATTAGGCCCTGCCAGGCTGCAGCTGTGTGCGGCCCCATAGCCAAACCATTTGGGCTCCGTGTCACTTTAACCACACTCTCAAAGGCCATCTCTCTAGAAATGCAGACTCATTTTTGTATTCATAGCGATCTTGTAAATGTTCCCAAACTATATACACTTTAATTGTATCCATATGTTTCCCAAATGCTATTGTCTCCGGTATAAATCCCTGGGTACCCAGACAGTGCCGGGCCACATAACAGTTGCATGATCAGCTATAGCTATGACACAACTTTTCAAATGCAGGATGTATCCTAAACAAATGTGCGTTTTATGTTCTGCACAGCTACTCAAGAAACTCCACATACAACACGTACATCGGAATGGGCTACATTATTCCTGGCATGGACGCTGGCCTGCAGGGCATTTGTGTGGGAGAGTGGAGGAGAATAATCATCCCACCACATCTTGCATATGGGGAGAAAGGAGCAGGTAAGTGACTTCAATATGATCTACACTCAAATTTTTCTTCAAGTGATCATTCATATCTCTGCTGCAGGCAGGCATGTAACCTTCTTGTCTCTCTCTCTCTCTCTCTCTCTCTCTCTCTCTCTCTCTATCTCTCTCTATCTCTATCTCTATCTATCTCTATCTCTATCTCTATCTCTATCTATAATAATTTTGATTTATTTTTTACATTTAAAGGAAACAGCATTCCTGGATCGGCCGTGTTGGTTTTTGATGTCCATGTGATCGATTTTCACAACCCCAAAGACAATGTCAATATTGAGGTGACCTATAAACCAGAGGTGTGCAACGTTACTTCCCAAAAGGGCGATTTCATTGAGTATCACTACAACTGCTCTCTGATGGACGGATCTCTGATCTTCTCCTCGTGAGTACAGCATACCTCCCGCTAGCCATCTGCGTTCATTGTGGTAGATCTGAGCCACTAATGTTTTTTTTATTTTGTGTGCCAGGAATGATTTTGACACCCCCCAGCAGATCACTCTGGGAGCAAATAAAGTTATAGATGGCTTGGAGATGGGTCTGACTGGGATGTGTGTTGGAGAGAAAAGATCCGTCATTGTCCCCCCACATCTGGGACATGGGGAGAGTGGAGGTAAGTGTGAGCTGCACTAATAAGATTTGGAACTAAAAACAGTTTGTGCTTAGATCCTAGATCATGTATAGAGATGGAGGCCATCAAGACTGTATATACATTACATGCATAACCTTCTGCACACTAAGGCTCCATTCATGCCTACAATGTAGGTGCATTTTAGGGATTCCTGTATCAGGAACTTGCGATTCCCTGCTTCCAGGGATGCTGATCTCTCCCTAACCTATTACATGCAGTGTGCCAGCCTTTCAAATGCAGCCGCTGTCAACTGATCATTAACTTGAATGGGTGACCACTGTCTTTTTTTGTAAACGGTAGATTTGGGATTCCTGCTGCAGGAAATCGCAAGCTCCTGATGCAGGAATACCAATTTGCACCTAAACTATAGGTATCAAAATGCATTAGGGATACTTACATAGTTGAAAAGGCTGATATCCAAGCTCAATTCTGCACATTTCCTTAAGGCACATTTGTTTTTTGGAAGCACCTTTTCATTACCTCCTTACTGTTCCTGGTCACCCTAAGCCCCCCCACCCTTTACAAATGAGATTTACAATATTACAATTGATTTGCAGAGTACTGTGGATTAGTTAGAGACAGTGAATCAGGAGCTGCTTGCCTGGAGGCTGGCTTTGTCTGATTGAAAATCAAGGAGCAAAAAGAGAGGGCTAAAAATGTCACCTGCTGGCCTGATGGAAGACTGTGTATTACCTTCTTAATGCAACATTTAATATTTACCTGGCCCTAAAAAAGCTTGCTATACACTACTCAAATTTTGCTGACTCGACAGAAATTCCATCAGTGGTGGGCTCTGCTATCACCACCTGCCTTGACAAAAGTCAATTTTTCAATCAACTGTTCGGGTATTCTAACAGCTTTTGGGTGCCCGCTGTCAGAATACAGTAGCTAGAGTACAGTAGTAAACAGATTCCTCCATGCATACTGTTTAGCGTGGATGCAGTGTTTGGCCAGATTTATTTAAACAATGCACTCCCTCTGTGCCCAATATATTACCTTGGCAGTTACTAAACCTGTCAGTTGTGTCCCTAGCTTGAGGCGAGGGGTAGCGGTGCTTGCAATCCAAGCATTGGGAGGTGGGTAGAGGAGACAGTCCCACCAGACTCAAGAGTGATGCCGCGCTCTGCATCTCCCTGCCTGGCTCTTAGTAACCTGGGAAGCTATGGCTGGTGTCCCACCCAGCTCCTGGCAACCAGTGACATCACTGGTTGCCAGGAGCTGGTTGGGACGCCGGCCAGAGCGTCCTAGGTTGCTAAGAGCTGGGTGGGGAGATGTGTATGGCCCTTGCACATCTCCCCTCCCGACTCTTAGCAGCCTGGGACACTGGCCGGAAAGGGGGCGGCATTGTGTAAGAGATGCCACCTTAGGGCAACAGCCCCAGACTGCCTATTTAAAGGGCCGGACCTGAAACCTGTCCTCATAAAACCTAGCATTGCTGCCCTCTTTCTGGAAAAGCTAGCTGACTGCTTTTCGGACCCTCTGGATTCATTAAATCTGATTTTAGAGGTTCTACATTAGATTGCAGACCCTGAAAGTCAGAAGACAACTTTATATTTTCCTGGTCAAGAGAGTCATCATAACACTGGGCAAGTAGTACTGAAAAGCAGGTATTCTTTAAATAGGAAGCAGAGTACCTGCACTGAGCCTTGGAGTGCTTCCTCTTATTTAAAATTCACTATACTTTTCTTTAAGGCATTCTGGGATTGATCCCTGCTGTGCTGTATTAGTTTGTACAGTGCTGAATTACGCCATGGTGCACATCAAAACACGGTGGGCAAGTTTAGGGTGGGGGCATTTCTCCCATTTTATTTTTTGCCCTTTATAGCCATTGTGTTGTGCCAGTTCCTCCTTTTTAATGAGAAGATTGTGTAGACTTCATAATCATAAACCTATTTTATGTACATAAAGGGTATTCTGAAGACCGCTCTGTTGGTCAGCATTGTTTGCCGACATGAGCTCAAACTGTTTCCTGGACTATGGACTGATAATCTGAGTAGCAGATGTTTCAATAATGAATGTTCTGGCTGAGAGCATCAGTATTATGCCAGCCACGGTTCTTTGACTCTGTGGGCCTGAGTCTGCATGGGAGATGTACAGACTGTGCGGACCGAAAGCCACTTACATCCTTCTTTCATTATTTGGCCTGTCAAAGAGGAAGAATGGCTGGGATATCATGATTTGGGCACCGAAAAAAGACTTGCATTATAGTAATTTAAAACCATTAGGAATAATAAGATGTCCCAGTACTTCTTAGGAGAACAGTTGACATCTCAGAATCCATTGGAGGCTTTCCTGAGAAGCATATCAATTTCAGATTCAAGTTTCCAGGATAAGCATACCCATGTTAACTGCTTACATATGTGAAATAATTCCATGCTGCTGGCCCTTTAAGTGGGCTGTAATGCTGGAGGACGGTAGGAGGGGTCCCAGGTTATGCGATCACTGTGATGGCTGTGATGATGTAATCAGGGGCCCGACCTACCGGTAGTTAACTGTGGGCTGCCGGTGAAAGCCTGGTCGCAATTCTAAGTGCACATATCCACAGAACAATGCAGTCAAATCCTAGAAGTCCCATCGCACTCCTAAACCGAAATAAACTCGTGATCCTTGAGTGGGTGCTGCAGTGCCTGTGGATGGCGTTGCACGTAATTAGATCTTGAAGGCGTCACTGGCACACTAATCTCTACTCTACCGTTCGTCTTTATTGATATTCATTACATTCAATTGAATGGCAACATTTTGGAACTGAATAGGTTCCTTCATCGGGAACTGCCTGATGAAGGAACCTATTCCTCACTGAAACGTTGCCTTTCAGTGTGATGTTATGACTATGCAATGTCAATAAAGACGAAATGGTAGAGTGGAGATGGCTGTGCTGGTGACTGCTATTTCGCAGATCAACACAGTGATGCATATTTGCGGCAGATTGACGTTTCTGCTGCATATATGTGTGATGCAGGCCCGAAGTAGTGCTTAAGGGTTGAGGTTCCTGATGAAAGCTAGTGAGGCTCTTGATAGTTTCTTTTGCTGGTAAATTCTTCTTTTAGCCAGCAGGTGGCCCTCTAGGCTAATTTTCATACATTTTTATTGCTATCCTTATCTGCTTTGCTGAAAAAAGTCTGTTTACAGAGCTAATTCTCAAGACTTTTCTGTTTACATCCATCCATGTTGCATCCATATTTAGGGTTTAATACGATACCTGGTTAGAATGCAAAAGGAGCCAGAGCATTGTACTTGCAATTTTAATGATGCAGTTGCTATGCTTTACTGGCTCCTTTATGAAGAAGTGCCATTTATTTTTTGCAGAAGCTGAATGTTCCCTTTAATTTACACACACCATGCAGCTACTCCTGTGCCCTCTCATGTGAATCCTGTGTCAGGGGGGCATTTCTGAAACAAACATTGTATGATTAACCCAAAACGATTCTAGTTTTCCTTTCCTGTGCACTCTTTTTCTGTTCAAATATACTTTACGATTTGTTGTAAGTATTCCACTCTGTCTTGTTTGTAGCTCGCGGAATCCCCCCCAGCGCTGTAATGAAGTTCGAAATAGAGTTGTTCCACAGAGAAGAAGGGGTCCCGGAGGGTTACCTGTTTATCTGGCTCGCGGACACTCCAGATAACCTCTTTGAAATAATGGACTTGGACAAGAATGGCGAGGTTCCATTGGAAGAGGTGAGTGGCTGAAGATGCATCCTATCCATTTATCTAGAAATTCCTTTTCAGAAAACATAGATGGTTTAAATCCATTCGGGACTCTGACAGAGCTTACAATCTAATGCCCCCAACACAGCTACTATATACATACACAATGGCCAGGTTTTGGTGGAACCTTGTCCAATTTGATTGCGGGAGGAACCCTAGAGAAATACAAACTCAATGCAGATGGTGTCCCTAGTGAAAAATGAAGCCAGGAAACCAGTTCTGCACTAACCACCACGTCCCAGTGCTGGAATTCGGTTTTGTGTAAGCCATTCAACCACAACTCAAAGCATCTGTGCTCATTTAACACACAGATATTGGTCTAGCTTTATTAAGATTGTAATAGGAAAGAAAGATTCCTATTGACACTGTCATGTTCACTGCATTCCCTGTGGAGAGTGTATTAATGGAGACCCAATATATGAGAATTCTCAAACTACATAGAGAATACTTCTTGGTTTATTTCAGCAGTGAAGCTACACACGGTCTGCAGTCGAGTTGAGAAGTAGGGACATTGTTACCCTTCCATGACTTGCAGAATAGAACTATGGGTTGTCCCATCAACCTTGCAATGTCATGTTGACAATAGACAACGGTCATAGCAAGGCTGTTTGCTCTAGTATACAGCACAGGAGAGGTTTTTCCACTTTTCACAATTGATGTGACCGTACAGAGTATACTGCTAAAGTGTCATGCAAGGTCTGTTCTAGAGGAATACATACAGTACCTGTCCATTGGCAAAATTTCACAGCTCTAGGCAGCGATTGTATTCCACACTTCTGGCTGTGTGGTCTAGTGTGTGCGCCACTGGCCTCTTTGGTTACTCCATTGACCCCCATCATCACGATTGTGTCCTAGCGGTCAGCAGGAGGCTCTGCAGTGGCCAGCCGGGGTACCCACTATTTGACCAGTCTGAATCAGTCTCAGGAGCTCTACTACAGAGTGACATTTCAGCAAACTGGCCAAAGGAAAGGTACATGTAAAGCTGTTTTCTTCTCAGGTTAGTACCATTGTAACTTTGTTGACCCCCATCAGGGTCACTTTAATGTTCACCTTTTACCAGTAAGTGGTGATGTGGGTTAAATATGCCATCGGATACCAGGAATCAGCAGGAGAAGATGCCATTTCCAGTGTTTTCTACTATTTGTTGTCTTTTTTTTGCAGTTCTCCAAATTCTTAAAGTCTCAGGTAGAGGAAGGGAAGGGCCGCTTCGTACCAGGAGTAGACCGCGAAAAGTCCATTGCCGACATGTTCGGAAATCAAGACCGCAACCAGGATAACAAGATCACAGCCGATGAGCTGAAACTGAAGACGCAGGAAGAGGCAGAGCGAGTTCACGAAGAACTATAAAGGACATAGCGCTGAGGAATCAGAGAGGCCACTGGGAGACTTGAGGCCTATCTTCTAGTGCCTTCTAATCTCGCTGGTGCGAGAGGCCATGTCTGCGGCTACTTTATCCCTTTTACAGAAGAGGCTTTAATATGTTACGGTGCGCGGTGTTACCGGGCACACCTGCCTGTAAGGGGACAATTTGGCAGCTGTGCAGAGTACAATCTACAAATTATTTCATGAGCAATATCGTCATAGTGTCTGAGATGGACTCAGCATCCCGGCAAGAGGAAAATTCAACGTGTTTCAAGTTCGAGTGCCAAAGACAGTCTTTTTTTTAGTTTTGTCTTCCAAATTAGCTAGTGAACACAGAGCCTTCATATTTTGTTAAAGGATTAGACTCAGACTCATTTTCTCCCATTTTTACATTTTCCTGTTCACGTTTATTTTTTTTGTCCATGCCGACGTTGCACATAGCAAGCATCCAAAGAACATCTCCTTGACTGTTTCCAAACCCCCTCCAAACTCCGATATTGTGTCCGAGAGGATGTAAATGTTATTTTTGCAATGGAAATTCAAGGTCTATTAAAGGGTCTGCCAGCCCAGTTTAATTTTCAGTTGGTGTATGTTTTATTATTGATATGCAAAGTGGAACTTTAATGACATGGCCCTGTAAGCTTCCACCCCACAAGTTCTGGTTGGCACGACTGATCTGTTGAAGCCACTGTGCATGCCATGATCTCCTACTTATCCTGTGTCACATTTACTTTTTGCCCCCCCCCCCCCCCCCCCCATCCATGTCGGCACATATGCACTTTAATCAGTGCAGGACTAGCATCCATATCATCAGGATGGGATGTGGGCACTGTTAGAGGTGCCCACCAACATTTCAGCACTGAAGAGCAGACTGGGGACACCGGCCATTGTGAGGTCTGGGATTAAAGAAGAACTCCAAGCAAATGCCCCTCCCCAAGGGTTTAAGGCTCGTTTTATTCTCAGTTGGAAAATAAAGTAATACTCACCCAATCCACTGAGCCAGCTGGCTGTCTCCTCCTGCTCCTCTACAGCAATGGCATGTCCTTCGGCGTTCTCGCGTCCTATACACAGTGTATAGAACGCGATGACTCGGGAACCTTATCCCCACTGCAGCAGTTGGGGAGCGAGGCTGGAAGGACCGGTCAGACGGGCCCCACTCCAAGGGTTAAAACACAATTTTGCCAGCTCTTCTTTATGGTATTTCAGGGTGGAAGAAAAATTAGACTGCAGTCACATGGGGCATTTTTGTGCATTCGGGGATTCCTGTGGCAAGAACCTATGCAATCTTGCAGCAGGTATCCCAGGTGGTCCTGTTTTAGATGCAGCCTCCTATTGAAGTTTATGACAGGGTGACTGCACATACATCTGTCAGCAGTAGTCCACATGAAATCGTATATGGTATGATTGTCGCTGTACACATCTATCCTGCATCCAGCAGCAGTCATCTATTCCAACCCACATGTAATCGTACCTTATACGATAACATGTGGACTGCCACTGACAGATGCATGTGCTGTCACCCTGTCATTAACTTCAATGGGTACCGAAGTCAGCCTTGTGCAGAGTGACTGGTCTCGTCTCTTGTAGTTTTCTGCAGGCAGCCTGCAGTGGGTGGGGCCTGCTCAGTCCGTCCCACACCTCTGCTTTGTGCAGTGATTATGTCACCACTACTAATTAGGGATGCACCGATACTAGTGCTGATACCGAGTATTTGGGCAAGTACTCATACTCGCCCAAATGCTCAGATACCTTTCCCGATACCAGAACTTCCAGTCAGAGGGAGATTTCCTCTGACCGGCAGTGCCGCGAGGGAACATGGAGCCGTGAAACTGGCTCCATGCTGTTTGGCCGGCTCCATGCTGATTGGCCGGGAAGCCGGCTTTGGAGCCTATCGGTGTCCAACTGGCAAACAAATCTGATATGGCGACACGACCCCCCACCCTGCAGATAAATCAATCCCCTCACATAGATCCTTAGCAGCAGTCCCTACCATACCAGTCCCTCAGCCAGGTGGGCAGACACTGCTCTCCTGGATCTGCACACGTCTCTTGTGTGCACAGCGCCCATGTGATCGGCCCTCAGCCTGCTACTGCAGTCTCTTTTCTGAATGAGAGCGCTGGGCAGTCTGAGCATGCACAGTAGCAGCCTGGGGGCCGATCACGTGGGCGCTGTACACACAGGAGATGTGGGCAGATCCCGGAGAGCTTGGAGAGAGGTGTCAGCCCAGCTGGCCGAGGGACTGGTACAGTAATGACGGCTGCTAAGGATCTATGTGAGGGGAATGAGGTGTCCGCAGGGTGGGGTCGTGTCACCATATTGTCCAGATCTGTTTGGCCGGCCAATCAGCATCGAGCAGGGCCGAACAGAAAGGCGTCGGCTTCCCGGGCAATCAAGAAGCCGGGCAATGACACGCCGCCTGGCTTCCTGATGGCATAGAGCCAGCTTCCCGGGCAAACTGAAGTATGGGTACTCTGTATCGGTGAGTTTGATGTGCACAAAGTTTTTATATATTTTTTTTGCAGGTATTGGGGAATATAGTTAAACTTCTTGTGCCTGGCGTTCAGCCAGACACAAAAAGAGACAATAAAAGTGGTTGGGACAGAAAGAGAAGGAAGGTTAGAACTGCAAACTTGCTTGGATACATTAAAAAAGCCAAGGGATTATAAAAGTGCATTTATTCTTCCACCGGGATTTTCATGTCCGGTTGAGAGCTGAACACCCCTTTAATTAAAATTCGTGCTTTGGCTATGCAGGAAAAAGCAACAGGTTCACTCTGATGTTGGCCTCCCCAGCAGCGTATCACCACTCCTTCACTCTCGTCACCCCATTCAGCTGCCGGGGGAGCAAATAGAAGCTCTGTGTGTACTACAAATGGCAGTAGCTGGAGCTTACACAGGGCCGAGGACTCTCTAGGGCAAGCAACCGTGGCTCTCCAGCTGTGCTGAAACTACAAATCCCAAAAGGCATTGCAAGCCACAGGCATGACTCCCAGAGGCAGAAGCATAATGGGATTTGTAGTTTCAGCATAGCTGGAGAGCCAAGATTGCCTGCCCCTGCTCTAGGAGAGGGAAGGAAAGATGAATCTGTGCTGCTGGGAAGGGTGACCTGTTGCCTTGGTCTACTAGAGAAAAGCACAGGTTTGCCTTAAAGTAGTGGTTCTCAACCTGTGTAACCTCAGGACCCACATTTGTTTTGGTCATTAAGTAATGGCCAAAGTCTGCAATGGAAAGCATGGCATTAGGGGTACCATGCAAATGGATGGCAATGCACCTCCCACACCACAATGCATGCTAGGTGCGATTGCATGGTACAGTGCGTTAATTGCATGGTGCTATGCAATTAACGCACTGTACTAGTGTGAATGGGCCCCCAAAAACACCGACATACACACACTCAATCTAACACATGCCAAAATGTCTTTTTTATTTTTAAAGGTGCACCCAGTCTCCATACCTTACAAGAACTGGAGTGGATCCTCATCCTGGTGTCCAGTGTGGGCTGCTGTGCTGTTCCGGAGCTCCATCCATATGTGCATTGCTTGTACAACTGCCTTGTGCGCCCTGTAGAGGTGCCTGGAGCCAGAATGTGATGTCCATATGGGAGTCCATGTTACATGAGGGAGCTGTAAGCAATGCACATATGGATAGAGCTCCCTCATGGCCATATCCCATCCCACATCAAGCTGACACTCGGCGCCGACAGTGCTGCTCTAGGGGGAGGCAGAGGAGCCTCCTCATCTAGAAAAGTGAAAGGCATGCGGCGACCCACTCAACACGGGCTCGCAACCCACTTTTGGGTCACGACCCACCAGTTGAGAACAAAGGCCTTGAAGTGTATTTTCACTTTTGCAGGCAAATTGGGATAACACCTACTTTATATCTGTTCCACATTCCCATTCATAGAGCAACTTGGCCTTCAAGGAGAGGGCTGGGGAGTTGATGTCTGCCATAAGCAACCCTGTCTGTACTGTGCTGGCAGATCTTATCAGATGTAAACTATTTGTGCAGGCCTGTCTGTCCTAACAAAGGGTTAAAGATCTCATGGTTCGGGTGGTACATTGTATGGCAATGCACTTTCACTAAAACTGTGCCTCAGTCTGTCTCTTATCTGCACATTGTCATTTATTCTAATGCCTGTAGAGTTCTAGGTGGACTCCTGCTCCACGGAAACAACTAGAAAGGTAAGAAATCAATTATTTTTGGTATTCTCTGTGGAAACATATAACAAACATATAGCGGGGTTTTCTATATGTAGAAATACACTTTAAACAGCCAGTTAAATAATATCAAGCAGACGCTTGGGAAGTGAATACACATTAACACACAAGAAACTGCCTCGTGTGTCATTTTCTGCATACGTGTACAAAACACAAAGCGTGGCTGAAAAACTGAACTGCAATTTATTAAGGTGGACCTGTCTAACCACATAAAATAAAGCCTCTGCCTTAAGTAGGCCAGGAAAAAAAACAAAACAAGGTGCTTAGAAAAAAATGAAATGCATCTTTTTTACTCAGCTACTCTGGGCTTTATTAACTCGGAATTAAAAAAAACCCGTGGTCAATTATGAAAATAAATGTTGCCCATAGCAACCAAGTCATCAATGTAATAATGTTATTGGGAAGTATGTCAGTTCTGTAACGGATTAAGCTGTAAAAGACTTCTTGTCTATCCTGGTGATGTCTGTCCTTCTTGCGCAGCCGGAGTGAATCTCAGCAGGTTGGAGAATTAGTACGTAGTAGGATTACGGGGAAGGCAATTAGTTCTTGACCATAATAAAATTAAGGATGCCGTTCACCACGTCCAGAGTCTCGTCTCTGACCAGCACGATGTCATAAGACTGAAGAAACTGCTCCGTCAGCTCCTCCACCTGCAGAGAAGACATAAAATGGAGTCAATCCAGCTGTAGTGGCATTTTGATCTCAACCCATGTATTTGATATTGATACGTTACAGAAAGTTTTAGCCAAGCAGAAGATGAATCCTCTACTTTCCTATTAGCAATAGATTGTAGGGAATAATGAGTAAGAAAACTGATACATTCTGCACAATTCATAGTGGAAACATACATTATATATATATAGTTATATGAATAAGCATCATGAGGGGGACATATGGCTTTGTAGGTGGAGGTAACTAGAGTTCATGCACCACTCACACTGAGCTTGCTCACACAGGGTTTGTGAACAAAGTGCCGTTGATCTAAGTGGAGTTAAAAAATTAGATTTGTGCTTTTTTGGATACATTGAGTGCTTGTTTTTGGAATACTTGTCTCTTTCTTTTGTTAGACTCTTAGGGGGGAATTCATCCAAACTGGAGCAGATTTGCACTGCAACCAATCAGCTTCTCTGTCTCATTTTCAAATCTTACCTGAGCAAACTAAAGAGATGCTCATTGCTTGCCATGGGCAACTGCTCCAGTTTTGATACATTCCCCCTTAGTATGTAACCACCTGCTGTCCGGCCGTTGTAATTAAACGGCCGCACAGCGGCTTCTTGAGAACGGGTGGGCGTCTTTAGACGTCCCATCTTGTCCCGCTCGTGCCCGCCGCTAGG